GGAGAGTTACAGGGTAGGGAGCATTTCTGGGGAAAAGCAGCTCGGGTCGAGAGCGGCAGCCAAGATACGAATGCCGAGACTTGAGGCAGGCAGTTAGTGGGGCATAGTCAGCCCCACAGGCATGAAGACTGCGGGGGCTGAAGGTGGCGCAGAGGGGAGAGAGGAGGTAGGGCACTCATTGTGTTATCCACCAGGTTGCCTAACCTGGAAGATAACACTGAGCAGCGTGCAGGGAAAAAAAGCAGATATCGACATCTAAGTCATCATGGGTTTTCTATACTTTCAGTTCGGGTCTTTGCGAGGCAACTTCAAAAATAATACATCTTGCAACTGTGCCAAGTTACAAGCCCACTGGAAATGTACATAGTTGATAGAACATTATGTTCCACCCAGCAAGATTAGTATTTAGTGGTGGAAATGTAACTTTTCAAGGCCATTTTAAATCAGAATATTTATGTCTCAACATCCAAATATCTGAGTTATTAGGTACTGAAATTTCTGCTAAAATGATTTATGATTCTTAAGTCTTGAATTGGTATGAAATATAAACAAAGCTGCACAACTGGCAAACACTTCTTAAGTTCTCTCACTTCCAATTCAGTGGAAATGTCTGAAGTCTCCACAATTGACACTTAACACATAAAATACCCTGGATGTGCTAGAAGTGAACACCAACCCCCTCCCCTACCTTATCTATATAGTACCAATCTCAGTAGTGATGTCCATGAGGCGAGGCACTGAAGTCGCAGATCATGCGATTCGCCTGCTGGAGAACAGGTTACCAGCAACATTTGAGAATTTTTCTATAAAAGCCGGTATCCCACTAACCAGTGGTTGAAAGCACTGGTGCATAACTCAAAAGTCCAATGCCAAGCCCAGCTTCACTGATTTTGCCAGCACAGGAGGAGGATCCACCTCCTGCACATTGATGCAATAAATATTGAATGCACCATTAAATGTACATAGCATACAGCAGACTGATGTAATTATCCATGCATGAAGAGCACCACTCAAATACAGGTATTGAAAACTTGAATGGCAAGGCAGTGATCAGCATGAAATATACAGATGACAGAGTTCAGCTCCAGAAATAATAAGGCATTGCCTTAACTGCTCCAAGTCTCTATACAATGTGAAGGGGGCTATAAAATGATAGTTGTTATTGTATTGATTCTCTATCACAGCAATTTTCTTATGAAAGGTTTATGACCAGAAATAGCAAAGAGCCAACATAAGCCAAACTAGCCAGAGAACTCCCAGAATAAACTTTTATCTTTTTTCCAATTTTGTTCATGCTGTAGTATTGACTTTGTCTCTGCTTTTTACCAAATGACACTGAATACACGAAAGCCCAGAAAGGTGGAATAGCCCTGTGGACAACAATGGCTGATGTCATTAGAGCACAAATGCAGTGACAAAGAGTGGTTTGGACTGGTTCACAGTTCTTCACAGACCAAGTTCCCAATGTCATCAGGGACTGAGTTCAGGTCAGATGCTTAGGAGATAGTTGTTGAAACAGACCTCACCAAGTCCTTTGAAGTTCTGTTTCCTTCAATCTTATGAGATTAAAGGGAGATGTCAATGTTTCCTTTGGATCTTGTCTTCTTCAAACAGTAAGTAACTGAGACTAATGCATACCACCTGATAAGCTTTGGTTACTTGCTCCAGTTGGTTATAACATTCACTAACTGTTCTGGATAACAGACACTGTAAAACCTACCTTGGTGCCTTTACCCACAAGTGATCAGCAAACAAAAACAAGCATTCTTAATTCTTCTTTGATTGACTGGCTAGATAAATGATACATAGTGGCAGCAATAGAAGTTACTGTATTTCTCTACTTACAGGCTGCTAACTGGACTGTTACACTGTTATTTAATATTAAATATTAATATTAAATGAATAAGACATTGCCTTATTAATATTAAATTACTATATGCATTCATAACATCGAAGCTTCACTATGCAAACTCCTTGCTTGTCAGCCTCCTCAACACCTCCCTCCATAGGCTGTAGATCATCCAGAACTCTGCAGCCCGTGCCCGCTCCCACACCAGGCTCCGTGACCCTATCAGCCCCATCCTCGCCCGACTCCACTGGCTTCCCATCACAAAGAGGGTACAGTTCAAGATCCTGATCCTCATTTTCAAAGCCCTCCATGGCCTTGCTCCCCCCTACCACTGCGAACTCACCACCCCCTACCATCCTGCTCGTTCAACGGGCTCCGCCCGGCCTGGTTTACATACCCTGCCTCGCCCGCCCCACCTTTGGCGGCGGGCTTTCTGCCACTCTGCCCCCACCCCCTGGAACTCCATCCCGCAGTCCCTCCGCTTCGCCCCCTCCCTTGTCTCCTTCAAGACCTATCTCAAGACCCTCCTCTTCGACCGTACTTTCGATCACCCTGCTTCCCCCCCATGCCTTCCACCCTCCCCAATCCCGACCCCCAGCTCGGGTCCGAAACACTGACTCTCCAGTGCCTTGGGACGTCCTCCCGATGTGAAAGATACTAAACAAATGTAATTTTTATGTTGTTGTTAATAGGTCAAATCAGAATGATGCAAAAATTCTGCAATGCTCTGACAAAGCATACACTACATACTTCCATATATTGGCTTGTACCCAGAACCTGAGGTTCTCAGAAATTGCTGGAGAAACCAGATAGCAACATTCATTTTCTCAATAACCTGTGAGAGGAGATACTTTTAGCTGTGGAAGAAAGACCACTTAAAAAATCAATATGTGTCAGCTATTCCGGATGCAGTCTTTTTGCAACATTTACGTATGCAAAATTCTGAAGGTTCAGTGTTAAGGTCGTTTTTTTAAAATACTATAGGATAAGGACCAACAATGGTAGTATTTTAAGTATTCATCTGAACTTAAATAAACATTTCACAAGTTAAAATATTTTGAAGAGAAAAAGATACTAGGAGTCAGACAGTTTCCAATCTGTGTGACTAACTTTGCTGCATGTCTAGAGTTTAGCTGCTGAAACATGACATGTACTCTAATAGCCTGATTCCCAATACCACAGCACCCAATGTACAGTCTGGGCAATTGGTGCAAACTCATCATGTTTCAATGCCAAGCGTTGGACTCATGGTTGGGATGGTGAACCTGTTTGGGAGACCAATATCTTGTTGCACAATTTATTTTAAAACAATCTTTTTTAATGGCTTTTTTTTTCACATAACTGCTCAAAGGTTTCTTGATCTACTGCTCATATCTCACTCCCTCTGTCCCAACAGCAGTGGTCGAGTATTCAGCCATTATGTCCTGTTCTCCGGAATTCTCTCACAAAAGCCGTTCACCTTGCACCTTTCCTGCCTGCCTTCAAACTTATCTTAACGATGCGTCTTTTAATTGTGATGTTGATCACCACCCTCAAACTCCCCTGCTTGCCTACACTGTTCTCCCCATTGATACTGTGAAGTGCTTTGAGCCTCTCATCCAGCATGAAAGACACTATAGAAGTGCACACTGCTGTTGCTCTATTCCTTTATAAATGAGATTATAATTTCCAAACTTCAGCTGTATTTAAAGTTGCAGTGCCCCTTTCCAAAAAAAACTACCCTTGCTTTGTCAATGTCACTAATATTGAGCACCAGGCTGCACATTAGCAAATTCTGTACATACAGTCGACTGCAGTGAATTCAACTCATCACTACCAGAGGCAAAGTTGGCATCAATTCCCACAGCAACCTCAAGTCCTACAAAGAAGTCACATGTTTTTGGCACAGTAAATGCAGGCCAGAGCAAGTGCCAAAATGAGAGTGTCTATTGCATAGACTCATTTATCAATCAGTAAGGATTATTTCCAAAGTGGTAATGTACCTTTAAGATCATATCTTCTGTTCACACATGGAGTAGTAATGCATAATTCGTTCCTGGCAACAAAGTGTTTCGACCCACAAAATGTAAACTGCACATGTTAACAACTAAATTTTCTAATTATAAAGTAATAAATATATTTTTTTCTTGGTTAGTAATGCACAACAAACAAAAGCATATATGTCAACAGCAGAATTGGTGTGAGGATGTCAGACAAGTTAAAGTCTTTATTGTAATGGAATATATATGTAAGGGATTTCCTTTTATTTAATTAATCATAATGCTAGATTGAATTTATATTCACAATTAACTAGAAAGTTTAAATGAAAACTACTACTCTTAGATAATAATTGATCTAAAGATAGTACGAGCTTTTCTATCTTATAGCACCCAAGTTTTTCATATATATTAACAATATTTTTCCATATACATTTATAGCATTTTCCATATAATATTGTTTTCTATTGATTTTCATGAATTATTACAATTCAAAATCTAATGCTTTTTTGGTCAGCTGAGTGTCTGACACATGTGGAAACCCATCAACTTACCTAAGAGTATCCTTTGATTTGGATACTCCTAAGTATAGTGATGGGTACCTCATGTATCAGACACCAGGCTCACCAAAAAAAAATGATTTTGATGCTCCTAAAACTTCTACTGAATACTGCACAGGAAAAGCGCAGAACACTTGGGTTCTAAAGTTTCAAAAAGCATAATATTTTACTAAGTACAGGAACATCAAGTTACTGGGAATCAATTAAATATGTTCTTTTGTTTAAAAAGATACGATGACATATTTTGATTTATTCAAACTGCATCCTCGTAGATTCTCAAAATGCAAGAATTATTATATCATTAGCAATGAAGAGAATGAGTGGCTATTTTGCTTTCTCGGGATAAAAATACATTTTTACTGGATATTTTACAGCAACAACTGTTTCATGTAAATTCAGTCTGCATTTTTCAGATAATGCTGTACCAATCTATTAAAATATATACAGCATTTGGTGGAAGGAAATACATGTTTTTTTTACATGAGCAAAACATTTATGACATTGCCCTAAATTGTGCATTTTTTTAAAAAAACCATCCTGGCAAATTCGGTGATTTATTAACCACGAACTCACTGAATCATAACTAACATTCATTGAGTCACAATCAATTCTTACCCTTATATGCATGGTTCTCAAGCAGAGGTGGGACTACAGGCAGGTCATCTCAGTTCCTAAAGGGGAACAAACTACAAGAGACAAAGAGGATGCATCATTCTCATTTATAATCATCTGAAGCGTACGTGACAATTACCATTCCAGGCACAGTGTTAACTTCTTGAATTTAACGCTATCACCGGGCAATTCGAGAATCGTTTGCCGCGATGTTAAGACGTGTAATGCAATGCAGACGGGTTTTGCAAACCGAACAAACCCTCGGATATTAAAAGGCACTTTTTTTTAAAAAAAAACCCCGAAACCTGCAAAAAGGCTCGGAAAATCTGCAAAAAACGAAGTCGTATAAGGTTACGAGGAAATCTGCAACGCTGAAAGAACAAAAGAGTGCTTGTCTGGCGGTCAGCTCCGGCAACCACACCAGCGACTGCTCACTGACTGCAAATAAAACCTTCTGATTCACAAATCGAAAAGCCTGAGCTGCAGAATGAACGTCTCGGCGGTACAACACAGTACTTACAGACAAAGCCCTCTGCTCCGCTCCACCTTCCACCTACATACAGATTTTGCAACCGGCTCCCAAAATGGGGAGCAAATTTTTTTTTTTTTAAAAATAACCAGTGTGTTTTGCAAAAAAAAAACTACTGCACTCCACAAAAAAATGAAGCGCAGCCAAAGCTCTGTGGACAGCCTTCTGCCCCCTCCACACACACACACACCCACAAGCTGTCTTGGTGTCTACCCCACTGTCCGTAGTTGGAGTGGACTGAACAATGAGCTAATTCTGGGCTGCTGGCACAGGTCCAGCTGCTCAGTGGTGGCGGCGATGCTTGTGCAGCAAAGCCAGACTGCTTACTCTGCATTAATAACCCGCTCCCCGTGCCCCTGCTCGGGCTGGGCTGGGCGGGCCGGACTGGGCTGGGCGGGCCGGACCGGGCTGGGCGGGCCGTGTGGCTGAGGAGGCGGCCAATAGGGCCACAAGGAACCCAGAACCCGCCGCTCAACCTAACCTGCTTCTGGAGCCCCGCCCCCCGCTGTCCACTGCCGGCCTCCCATTGGCCCGCTGACGTCAGAGGGGACTATTTTGGATTGTGCCGTCACCCGGCGCCAGGCGCCAGCAAGGTAGGTTGTGCCTGGAAAGTGCAGCGTTGACTCAGTGCTGCACTGACTCAGTGCTGGAGCCTCAGCCTGACATCTTATATAAGGCAATGGAGCAAAACTCCCCCAGTGTGAAGCACACACACAACTATATATATAATATATATAATATATATAAGCACATAGCACAGCAACGCTCTCCTTGCTCTGGTGCATTGAATGTTCCAACCTTTTTTGTTTGTAGTGAAATGTTCAGAGAGAGAAAAGGGGGAAAAAGTCAGTGGTGATTTTAATATTAACGTGAATTGGAAGCACTGCCTTCCTCGGTTACCATCTTATTAGCTCTCGGATATGTTTTGCCTATAAACGGGCCGAGGAGCCGCCTTGATTCATCCGGAAGACAGAAATAGTATCGGTGGCGGTGTGGGGGGTGAGGGGGGATTTGCTGGAGGTATGAATGATGAAGTTGCAGACGTTTGTGGTAAATGTGTGTTTGGCAAATCCGAGACAGACTGAAACCCTTCGGAATCCGTTCACACGCAATAAATACACAGCCATAAAGACTCCCACAATAAACTGGTGGGGATTGCGGACTGCGCCGCTCCAGTGTCATTTGAACCCAGTGCACCCCCCCCCCACCCCCCCACCCCCCACTCCCTCCCCCCCCCCCACTCCCCGCCCCCCCACTCCCTCCCCGCCCCCCCCCACACTCCCCGCCCCCACACCCCCCCCCCCCCCCCCAGCTGTGCCCTCGCCCTGTGTGTGTGTGTGTGTGTGTCGCTGGGTCTCTGTTCCCCACCGTCTCCGACGGACAACTGACCTTGGAGAGACTGTGCAGAACAGATCATCATCGGGGCGTCCAGAGGCACTCAGTCACCCTTCACAGCCACGGGAAGCTACTGTGACATTACCCACCGGGGAGGGGGGGGGGGGGAGTGGGGAGGAGGAGGGGGGAGGGAGGGGGATGGAGGAGGGGGGAGGGGGGATGGAGGGGGGGAAGGGAGGACGGGGGAGGGGGAGGGAGGAGGAGGGGGGAGGGGGATGGAGGAGGGGGAGGGAGGAGGAGGGGGGAGGGGGAGGAAGGGGGAGGGGGATGGAGGAGGGGGGAGGTGGGGGAGGAGGAGGGGGGGGGAGGAGGGGGAGGGGAGGGAGGAGGGGGGGAGGGGGGGGGGGGAGGTGGGGGAGGAGGAGGGGGGAGGGGAGGGAGGAGAGGGGGGGAGGGGGGGGGGGAGGAGGGGACACTGGAAAGTTACTTTCACAAATAATCCGACCCCCGTTTGAATAAAGAGCGACAGTGGGGGTGAAGATCGTGGGGTGTAAGGACGCCCCCACCCACACCCCACCCCACCCTACCCACACCCCCCCCCACACCCCACCCTACCCACACCCCCCTACCCCACCCCACACCCCACCATCCCCCCCCCCCCCCCCCCACATAAATAAATAGTCAGTTCGGGTTGTCCTTCGCTGCATTATTTAATGCGCGTTCAGTCTGACAGTCCTTCCCGACCCCCGCGGGAGGCGTTTGGTTACATCTCAAAGGATCCCTATTCCCTGTTGCAGCCGCGACCGTAACCTCAGGGCAGAGACCGGGCGACTCGCAGTTCGGTTCTCGTCCGTTTCAGTCGACGGTTTGCGATGTCCATTTTTGATGGGGAATCTCCGTCGGATTTGCTCAGGTCCTGCGGTGCAGCGAATGGTGCAGTTTCGTGTACAATTACTGTGTGTACAGACAGCGGTGACGGAGGGCTCTGTCTGGACAAAACCGCCGGTGCACATTCATTGCAAAACCACTGCACGTCAGAAAAAAATATTGCAGCCACAGTCCTCCTTCACACATCCGCGACCGTTACGTGTTAAAGGTTCGCGTTTGCTCACAGAACCCATTTAGCGTTGAGGTACCAGATCACTAATAATAATAATAATAATAATAATCCTTGCATTTGATACAGCGCTTTTCACGTCGGGAGGACGTCCCAAAGCGCTTCACAGAACACACTGTAAAGTGAATTGACTGTATATTTGTGGGCGAACGCGGCAGCCAATTGCGCACAGCAATGTCCCACAAACAGTCGTAGATTGAAAATGACCAATTTATTATTGTTTTTTTTATGGAGGGATTATTATTAGGCTCTGTGTGGAGTAAGGAAACTTGCCCAAGGTTTCGCCCTCTGCCTGGAATTGAACTCAGGTCTCTCACTTGCAAAGCGAGTGCTCTAACCACTGAGCTACAGGACTCCACCATTAATATTCTTCATCAAACGATCGATTAAAGGAGTTTCAAAGAGGTATGTGTTGTCCTTGTCATCTTTTCTCCATGTTGTTGGATCCACGTCTTCAGCATCATCAACCTTTTACCTTCAATTTGCTATTTACCTTCTGCTTTCTATTTGCCTGTTTTTACATATAAACATTTTTTTTAAGAAAACAACAGATTTGGGATCAGCATGGTGCATCTTGCACCAAATTACACATTGTTGTACTACTACCACACACTTACATTACTTAATTTAGATTATACAAGCTCTATTGGGAATGGCTTCTCAAAATCTCTTCCAAAATCCATTCAATTTATTCCTCTCAGTGAAATATTTTTTTTTAAAAAATACTCTGGTTCAGTCAACACCTTTTAAATTGTCTTGCCCTCTCCCTGTCTCCCTGTCGTCTCTGTGAAGCGTTTCAAGACATTCATTCTACATATAATTGCAAAATGTTTTCTTACACTTATACAACGCTATCTGTGTGGAGTCCCACACTTGCCTCACAAGGGAGAGGACCTGAGCTCGAATCCTGTGCGAGGTGAGACCTTAGGCAAGTTCCTTACTCCTCACACTTCTGTTTATCTAGCGATAAGGAGGAACCAAGTTGTTAGTCAATTGGCGGATCGCTTTCCAGGGGTAATAATCCCTCAAAAAAATGTTACTCAATCCACGACTGTTTGTGGGATACTGCTGTGTGCAATTCGCTGCCACGGTTTGCCCACAAATTACACAATCAATTCACTTTACAGTATATTCTGTGAAGCACTTTGAGACACCTCAATGACGTGATAAGGAACTATATCAAATGCAAGGATTATTATTATTATGCTTCCCGTACCCCTCCTTCCTTCATGGGCCTGTGATACTTCCTTGACCAAGCATTACAAATTTCAAACGGTTTCCTGTTGTACAGCATTGGTGTTTAGCTGAGCCACAACTTGTTGAGCAGATGTCGTTGTCGGGACAGTGGAAGTGGATTTTTTAAATCAAATTTGACCACTCTTTTGCTCCATTATATTTTTCATTGTATAATGGAGCAAAAGAGTGGTCAAATTTGATGATTTAGCTCTGCCGTCATATTCACATTTTTGGAAATTTCATCCCTGTTGATGTCTCAATCTATGCTTGGGAGAAAGAGTTTCAGAAACAAGGCTTCTACCTAAGGACTAATGGTAGCAAATGGTACAATATTTCAAAAATAAAAGTAAGCAACTTATGAAGCTGAAAATTATCGACCAATTAACCTAACATCACTTCAACAACAACAACTTGCACTTATATAGCGCCCTCCACACAGGGTAGTGTCTCACTGTGCTTAACAGTGGCAGAGCTTGACTCCGAGCTGGGGGAGGGGAGGTACCCGTAAGTATGGTTGAAGAGGAAGGTTTTCAGGCAGGAGTTGAAAAAGGGGAGAGAGGAGTCAAGGCGGAGAGATTGAGGGAAAGTGTTCCAGAGTTTTGGGGCATAGTGGCTGAAAGCGCGACCTCCAATGGTGAGGCGGAGGGTGCGAGGGACGAGCAGGAGGCCAGTGCCAGTTGAGCAGAGGCTCCGGGTGGTGGATTGGGGAGTGAGGAGGTCGTAGAGGTAGGGAGGTGCCAAGGAGTCAAGCGATTTGAACACAGGTGTGAGGAACTTGAAGTCGATCCGTTCGGTGATAGGGAACCAGTGGAGACTGGTGAGATGTGGTTACGGAGTTTGGTCCGGGTCAGTATAGGGCGGCAGAGTTCTGAATGAACTGGATCTTTTGAATAGTGAAGCTGGGGAGACTGGCAAGGAGTGTGTTTGAATAATCCAGGCTGGAGGTGACAAACACATGCTCAAGGATTTTGGCTGCATATGGGGTAAGGTACGGTTGGAGGCAGGCAATGTGGTGGAGGTGGTCAGGGACTGATGTGGGGGAGGGAGGACAGCTGGGGATCGAACTGGATACCTAGATTGTTTACTGGTTTGGTGAGTGTGAGGGAGAGCCCAGGGAGGTTGAGAACTTCAGATCCACAAGAGCAAAGACATTGACAGGAGCCAAGGAGTATGGCCTCCGTTTTGTCCACATTCAGCTGCAGGAAGTTTGCACTCATCCAGGCCCTGATGTCTGCCAGACAAACTGATAGAACATCAGTGGACTTGGAGTTGGTACTGGAGGAGGCAAAGTAAATTTGAGTGTCATCCGCATATATGTGGAAGTTTACCCCATGTCTGTGGATGACATCGCCCAGAGGGAGCATATGGGTGCATTACTACTGGGCGAAATAAGAGCATACAGCATTTAGGTTGCTAATCAGTGCCTTTCTAAAAAGGGCAAAGTCCATAAGGTATACTCAAAATCGATTTAGTTATGTCAGACTAATCAGTCAGCATTATTTGAGAAGGTATCATGTGAGGGCTACTCAATAGATATAACTTAGATGGCTGCCACGTGTCAGCCTGATTTAGTTGGTAGCACTCTCGCCTCTGAGTCAAAAGGTTTTGGGTTCAAGTCCCACATTGGGACTTTGAGCTCATCATTTTGGCTGACACTCCAATGTAATGCCAGGAATCACGG